TTAGGTCAGCACATTTTACATCCGGCACAAGTCAATATAATAATTTGGCAATAACAATAAATAAGCCAAGGCCAAAATGCATCCCCGACGATAGATCAGCAATATTAGCGATTTGGGAATAACATCCGGCATGCGCCGAACAACAAGTGCAGTCAAATAATAAATAAGCCAAAGCCAAAATGCAATCCCGACGCTAGATCAGCAATATTAGCGAATTGGGAAAAACATCCGGGATGCGCCGAATAACAAGTGCAGTCAAATTGGAACAACACCCGGCATTCAGCTACTGGGACTTTAGCTTAAGATATTTTTGCTAGCCTAAGTAATTTTAACTAATATAAGCTGGAAAAATTAAAATGTTAAGTTAGTTAATAACAAGAACTCAACAATAAAGGTCTTCTGACCCAAAAGAATAAATTTTTTTTGGCCTTCTTAATTAATAGGCCAATAATTTAGATAATAACAATACGCACAACAAAAGAAGGATAAATTATTCCAATAAACCACTCATTTGGCGATACGGTATTCCTCAGCCAATGGAAGTTAATGAAAATTTGCATGCCATTAACTCAGATCCAATTTGCAAGCCATTGAACTGAAAATCAATTATTTTAAATAAAATAAAATCACTTCATAAACCTATTCAAATAAAAGCGTAAAAATTACGGATGGAATTTTACGTTTATAATTTTAAAAAAAAATTAACTGGAACAACCGTTAACGACTTCCTTAAGCTGCTGCCAGATAAAACGCTTGCTTCGCTTTGCGTGATAGATTCGCAGCGTTGATCAAGTCAGGAATTAACTGCAGTTAACTCGGACTTAATCCGGATCAACGATGCCGTCTGTTTAAGCTTTTAGATGAATTGTATGAAAATGCACAAAGCATGCCACAAAGACCGTTGCAGCTGTAGTGCGAAGCAAAAGATGGCCAATTCCCATCTATCGAGTCTGCCGGTTTAATATTTATTTTGTTTCGTCCAAATTCCAGTTTTAATGCAGAAACATAAAATTTAATTAAAATGCTGATATTTTTAAAGCTAAATATATAAAATTCACAGCAATTTTGACGAGCACAAAAGAAGTGCAAAATTGTTTTCTTGGCGTTTATTGTGACATACCTTTTGCGTCTGGTGCTTTGCTGGCAAAGTTATAAATGTCACGCAAAGCCGCAAAGTTTTATCTGGCATCAGCTTTAACGTTTAAAGCCAAATGTATTACGATAGCAACCATGATACAAAAAACAAGGTAGTTCCATTGTCACTTTTTCGTCGCCATATTAACAATCTGACAATTAAGCAGATTGTGACATTTCGTGCTACCATACCCAATATCTAAAATCCTTCAAATTTTCTTATTAATTTTTTGTCGATTTAAAAATATTTTGTTCTTAAGCATAGTATTTTGTTCCTGTTTCACGTGAAAAAGCTGTTAATTTGCATATAAAATTTATTTCTGTTAAAAATAAGTGTGAAATTCCACAACATTTTCCCAGCAAAGTAGTATTAGGTTCATTCCTTATCTTTTTGGGCTAAAATCTGAAAAGTGTCAAAATGCCAGAGCGTAAGCAAAATGCGCTCACTAAAAGAGAATAACAGGAAAAGTGAAGGAACGCAAAAAACCAAGTTTTCAGTCCAAAGAATGGCAACAACAAAGCTAACGTCAAATAAGAATGGAAATGTATGTACAAAACACATTCACACAAGCACAAGCACAATAAACACTTACTATATCAATTATTTTTGCCTGACAGTTTATAGAATTCAGTAGCGGCGAAAAAAAGGGGGGGTAAAGTGGTTAAACCTTACCCAAGCCGATCGTAAAACTTGTGACACAATTTCAGCCTGTGGGTCTTGGCAATAATGTAGTCCCTCAAGGTTTAGCTTAAAATCGTTGTAGGGATACACCCTGTGATCATGTTACTTTCCAGAAGGTGTCACGCCCATTTTTCTGTTTTTCCAATAAACCCAGGTTTTTTCATGAGCTTGAGATTGACTTGATATATGTACATAAATCCATACCAAGTTCCAGGACTCTACCACAAATACTTGCAGAGATATTCACTATGAAAAAATCGCTTTGTATGGGAGGTTCCACACCCCCTTTAGATATCGGTTTTGTTTTAGCCTATAACCATTCTTGGAAAATTTGTGTCCGAAATTTCAAAAAAATCGGTACAGCCGGTATGGGCATTGTGACTCCTCAAGCGAAATGAACTAATGATTACAAAAAAATGAAATCAAACATAGTAGTTGACCAAAAAAGAATATTAGACTTCATTCTCTCAACTTCTCAGAATGTAGAAAAGCTAAGAAATATATAATAAGATAGTATATATTAAAACAGCCCCCAAAACATTTACTAAAGATGCCCCTGAACTTCACAAATCTGTTTGATCGAAAATTGTTTTCATCTATTTATTTTATACTTCGCTTTTGGGTGTGTCAAAATTTCATGTGAAAACAATATGTGTTGCTGGAAAAGTTTCACGGCCCATGGGTCCCAAAGTAAATTCCATTTGCTGTTAAATGGACAAAGACAATATGTATTAATAACACATCGAAATGCGTAATTTCAGTGTCAGAATCATATCAGAATCATCGTATTCGATATAGAAAACTACATTATGAAATAATCAGATGACATGAGGACACTAAAAAACTTTTAAAATATGTTCACTAAAATTGTACTAATATTAAAATAATGATTTGGCAAGTTGTTATGGAATTTAATTTAAAATTTAAACGTTTTTAAGATAAGATATTAATTATTTTTAAAAGGTAAATATTAATACAACTATTTCATTTATAATCCCAAATTTAGGATATAAAATCTCCCACACCAAAAAACTTACAATTGGGTAACGCCGCTCCCAATTTTTCACAATTGAGCTATTGTCAAAAATCTGCTTTTTAATCAAAAAGTTGTTTATTGAAACTAGCTTCTTTTTTGTATCATGATAGCAACTATAAAGAACTTAAGAGAACACGTTACAATTTTATATGTACATATTGACGAAACAAGAAGGCGTTTGCAATTGTAAGATATGCTCAGGTTGAACAGGTAGTATCAGTAGAGCTGCTGATTTTTTTTTTTATGTTTGGTCTCTAAAATGCCAAAAATTTCTACTTTTTTCTCACAAAAATTCTAAATTGTTTAAATCTACTTTTCTCTTGTAAACTGTAACTTTAAAGCTCACTTTATAATTAAAGGTTGCATTAAAATTTATGATTGTGTGTAAAGTAAAGCATTTTTGTATCGGTTTTAAATTGCTTTACAACCAAGAAATATACATACGTCAAAAACTGATAATAGAAATGCTTAACTTTAGACATAGTTTTATTTTTAATTCAACCTTTATATATAAAGTGAGCTTTAAAGTTAAAGGTTACTTCAGAACATGGCCCTAAATAGCAGCTTTTGCAACGTTCACCCAACTTAGCAGCACAAACGCTGAAAACAAATTTACTAAGAAAAAACGTTCAGCAATTTTTATTTTTTTCAATTTCGAGATCTTATATTTAATTTTTTTTTTGTATTTCACAGAGCACAATTTGTTTTAAAAGAAGAAAAAACAAGACAGTTTTTGACCCTTTAGATACCAAAAGCAACAACAAAATTCAAGTAAATGTTGCACAACCCATCTAAGTGAAGAAGAGAGACGTGAATTCGAAAAATTATTTAAAAAATATAAGTTAATACAACATGAATTTCATCCCACATTATTTCGCTGTTAACAATGTCTGCATAATTGGGACTAATCTTTCGACTTACATGCAATTGCATTGTACATGGACTTACCTTGACTTAGGAGTCCTATTACTTTTTTGGCTTAATGGAAGCGTTATTTCGATGGCGCAGCATTTATCAGGCTTATTCGCCCAATTATATAAGGAACATAATGGTTCAACTACTCGCCGACGTAAAACCGGAGGCCGTGACAGCTGATACATGGCAGCATGTACGGAAAGGTACTCCGTCGGTGGTTATTTGGACCACAACAGTAGCCAAGTCTTGAGTTTTGAAATAAAGCTTACCGGAAGCAAATAGGGTTGCTTAATAAAAGCTTGTCGTTATATTAAACTTTATGCGGCTCCCGAGCAGAGACCGCGAAAGTTTCGAAGTTAGCTATATAAATATCGCGATTCCAGTGAAAATAGTGGTTGGTAACGGTAAAAAACTTGGAATAATAAACTTCGGGAAAAATATCACCAGAAAAAAATTAAGAAATGAGTCAAGGAGAACAGATATCATCGACATTTTCATGATTAAATCTACACCCATCAAGTACTTACTGTTCCTCTCCTAACATACCAACAACCTTCACCGCTAATCAAACAAAGAGAACTTGCATAGTTAATAACAGAAACAGGCTCTGCCATCCTATATCCACTAATCGAAGAGGAGGCTGAACATCCGGTAGATGTAAGTATAAATGCGGAAGCAGCTGAAAGAGTGTCGAATGTGGCAAAATGTTTGAGAGTTTTTGGGTAAAGCCGCAGAATTTAGTTCATGTCGGGAAATAGTGGGATAGAATATTGTTAATGTATGGGCAGAATAAGGACACCCCAAAATATTCTATTTACTATCTTACACACAGTTCGACACAAGATCGTCGGTAAAATTAAAAAATGATAAGAGGAACCACGCACAAACAGCTTTCTCGAGGCACTACAAAAACTACCCACCGGTTCCTCTTTTGATTTTTAATTGTTCGAAATATTAGTTCACTTGGAATGCGCGATAAGGCCGATTACAACCACAAACTGCATTAAACCTAACCCTAACAAAATCAAGGTCATGACATAATTTCATATGCCGAAAAGTGGCCCTGTTAATGAAAGTATATAAAAAACATTTGAAAAATCACAAAACCGATACATAAATATTTTAAGCAAGGTGAAAAAGCGACGTACCATGAAAGCGGCCAAAAGGATTAAAACCTATAAGAAGTGCAACAGATAACTTTTTGGACAATATCAAATAGATTTATTATTATTTTAAGGAAATTCCACTTGGCCTCCCCATAAGACGCCACAATATACCTAACCCACTGATGCATAGACGCACATAAAGTTGCTACTCTCTATGCAGCACAATTTATATGTATTAAAACGTCTTTGTGGCAATAAAAACATACCTTATATTTTGTACCTGACATTCCAAAAAATATTACTAACTTCCGGGCATGGGATAATTTCTCAATTCCCACAATAGATAATCATACTGAACTTGTATTTGAAATTAATAAGAAGTTAAACTTAGTTGAAAATTTACACCATGAAATTACGAACTTGACTGACAACTGTATAAAGCATTAACATGCTCAAGACAATCAAATTTTATGTGAATTCAAACAAATATACGATTAGGAAATTCGATTCTTTGATAATTTCAATCAATTAGTTTGTTCCCTCATTCGTTTAAAAAAAAACAGTTTTACTCCAAGCGCCTTAATTGTGTGTCCACGAATGTGTTTTGCTATTTTCCAAATAAGGCATGAAAGTTTTCGAAAAAATAAAACGTGTACTATATGTATGTATGTGTTTAATTATATATGGTAGAAATTAATTTGATACTAATGCGTAAATTATGTTCCTGTTAACACTGAAAATATACTGAACGGAAAAGGATTTTAAAGTAAACTCTGCCTCTTAGAGATATTCTTATTTATAGCTTATTGTATATTAACTCTTATAATTAATAATGTATTTATTATTGAAAATAGTAAGGAAAGAATTATAGGGAATTTAAAGGAGTACATACAATAGTTTATTACAACTTTTAAATTTTGTCAAAAACTTTTCGCATTTTAGAAATTAAAACATTTAACAAAATCAATGAGCGCATTGCGATTAATAATAACAAACAAATTTTATATTAACGATCAACAAATCTTTGATATATACGGTGGATGTAACAAGAAAAAAACTGGGCTGTTCAGTCATTGTTAAAAAAAATAATTAAGGAAGCTTTAAATTTACTTACAAATTGACGAAAGATTTACAACCCACAGCTATGTGCATGAATGCGGCACAACTACTACCTATTCACTTTATTCGTTGTGACAGAAATGTCGAAATGCCATTCCTCAAACCACATATCCTAAACCGGTATGCCTGTGCGATCCTTAATCTTTCCGAGCACGTTAACATGCACCTTCGAATAGCCGCTATGCTTTTTACCCAAAGTGCCCATATTACCGCTGGTTCCAGCGCCACCTCCGTCGACTGAAGAGCACGATAACGGCGAAGAGTTCTTCGAATCTAAATGTGATGAGCGATGTAAGGAACGATGCAGCGATTCGTGAGGCAACATATCATCGCTGCTCGGACGCATATGTGTTGAGGTGGATGTGTAGCCAGGCTGAAGTGTTTCAACTTCATCGTCGATGCCCTTAAATTGCCAACTCCAGTTGGCGCGGTACAGGAAAGGACGATGATCGAAGCGGTTGTCGTCCGGACTGTAGCTTTCAGCGTGCACCGAAGGTGTTAGTACAGTCATTTTGTGCCGATTTATGGCGTAGCAACGGAAGAAGTGCTTCACCTTGTCAGCAACCTGAATTGGATGACCAATTTAAATAGAAGAAATGAAGAGAAATTATGTATATATGTATTACTTATTTTGTATTACATTAAGGTCATATATTCGATACTATCTACATACGAATACACACATTATACATACATGTGTATGGATGTATCTGCAATTTTCATAAAAAGAAATTTCTGAACTTTTACCCGTATATGTACACTGAGGTAAAAAATGGAATTTTTTCATTTGATTACCGTTTAAAAATATTCGTATTTAAATTAAGTGAAAAGTGTTTCAAAGTAGAGTATGTATAATGGAAATATTCAATTCAAATATTAAAATTAAGCATTATTTTAGACATCCGCGGATGCGCAACATCCCTAGTATGTATATAGATATGAAGCAGGAAATGATTTCAAAATACTCGCTTTTTTAGTTGTAATAGCCTTTTATTAAAAGAGCGAAATGTATTTAATGGTCTTATTTAATGCTGTAGAGTCATGTATAACTTTATTGAAAACGAATTACTGCAGATTAATGGATTCCATAATAACTTAAATCGTTTTCTAGATCTCATTTTTATAAGTTATAATGGCCGTCAGCGATTCGTCAACAGTTAGCGAGTGGCGAAACGAACGAACTCAATGAAGTACAACCAAACTCGCTATCGTCCATGCTTCACGGAGTCCTTGAACCAGATTCAACTGAGTCGGTCTGGAATGATGGCATTTCCCATTAGACTACTATTTTGGGACGGTGTTTGAGAGTTAGAAGTTCAAAATAGTGGCAAGTGCCGACTTCGAAAACGGCAACATTTTCGATTTTCAGGTTGGTTTTCGATAAGGTTCTCGATGAATGATATACAAATCGATTGTATACATATTTATACATATGTAAGTGCAGGCCCGACTATAGGGTGGGGCTGTTTCCCCACGGGCCTGGATTTCTCCTTAAACTTAGTTGAAAGATAAAAATTATAAAACTTTGTTAAATTTCATTATTTAATATTCACATAGCTTTTATAATATCCAATAAATGCGAAAGCGCATGTCTAGATTTCCGTGCTAGTCAAAACAACCGCCAATCTGGCCTAATGTGAATCAGAAGGTTTCCGAAATCAACACGTGTTGTCTAAATGTTGTCGTCGTAATAATTTTTCCATGGTTAATCAAACATTTTGAAGTCGAAATTGTAGAGCGACCTTCAAAGAGATTCGAGGTTACCTACAACAGGGGAAAATCAGAAATCAATAGGAGGCGGGTTTCTTGCATACAGCCCATCTGAGCTTAAAGGAATGCATTTGACTAAAACAATAAAAACTATTTTACGCATTCACTTGATAAAAAAAGACATTATCCACAAACTATGAAAATACATACTTGGTATTTTTCAAAAGCACTGAAGAAGGATGTAGTAGTGATAACTTTAGGAATTTGTTTAAATATTTACAAACAAAATTTAGGTTTAGAGGGGGGCCCGTACAAGTTTATATTATTAAATTAAAAGAACCAACTAATGAAAGAACACCTATAATGTAATAAGTGTTTATAGTTAATTTTTTTGAAACCAGATAAAAGTTTTCCGTTATAGGTAGACCAAAAGTTGGCTATTGTAGTAGACGACTACGAAATTACTCACAGGCTATACAGGTCTATACATATCGAGCCCTTACCGCCAAAATAACGTAAGCGACATTTATTTCAAAAGTTTCTTTTTGATTCAGAAATGCATCTAGTTGCTCTAGGAATATTTCTGCATAAAAAAAAAATGTTGAAAAAAAAATTCGCTTACGTAGTTTTTGCGGTTTTAGCGCGATATTTAAAAAATTACTCATATACAATCTTATTAATACTATACTTAAATGCGAAAATGTCAGCTGAAAATCGAAAAAGTTACCGTTTTTGAAATCGGCACTTGCCAAGATTTTGAACTTCACGTATTTTAACTCGGGAACACCCCCCCAAAATAGTCTAATCGGAAATTCCATCGTTCCAGACCGATTCAGTTGAATCTGGTTCAAGGACACCGTGGCTTGCTAGCTAACTTTGTTGTTGCTCTTACACACAAATTTTTCGTTAAGCGACCGGAACTCAAACACAGCAAGCAGCCAAGTGGCGAATCGATGACGGATAATATTAAGTTTGATATTATCCTCGTGTAATCTATCTCACCCAGTGTTGCCATTTTGGTGCTTTTGGAGCTAGATTTAGCGCTTTATATTTGTATTTAGCTCCGAAAATCGGGTTTTAGCTCCTAGCTCTTTTCAAATTTATGTAGCACTTTTTTAGCTCCAGAAAGTTTTAGTTCTATTTGGTATATATAAGCCAAAACTTAAGCGTTGATAAAATGGAAAATTTCGAGATGCAGTGTATCCACCGTAAACTCTTGGATCTAGGTTAAAGAATTCAAAAATTAGTTAAAAGAAAATCCTTTTTCTGATAGGGTGGATTTTGTTTTACCTTAGTAATTTTACTTTTAAGGAGAGCTGGAAGTAAAACTTTGCAGAAAAATTTTGCGAAAAAATTATTCAATTCAAATATTTGAAATTACAGACTTTAACAGTTTGTAAAGTATTTTTAGTTCACTGTTATAAGGCCATAGCAACGAATTTGAAATATATGCACCTTATTTTGGTTTTAAAAGATTTTTTCAGCACTTAAACTTATAAAATTCGTTGTTTTTTTTTAATTGCTGAAAATTATATAGTCAACCATTTTTATTGAGCTTGACACCGTTTTTAATGAAACACTTATTGTGGAAAAGCAACAATAATTGAAAAAATGGTAGAAGTGATAGCTATTACGGTACTCACCACATTTCCTCATCAGACTTCTTTCCGAAAATGTAAAAACGACCTTACGTCAATAAATGCTCAACCTTAACACAAATATGTAGCTCTTCATTTTAGCTACTAATAGTATTATTTAGCTCTTTTTAGCTCTTTTTCAACCGTTTTAGCTCCAAACGAAATGTTTCTCTAGCAACACTGATCTCACCCCTTAACTTAATCATTTAACATCGAACATTTTGATATCCCTTAAAACCAGATGAAGAGGTATCTTTTAATTATAGTTCCTGTGATTTTGAAAAATTGAATATTATACTCTAAATATCGAGTGGAATGATGTGTAAGCTGGGGCTGATGTTACATCTTGTTTTGAGCGGCTCAAATCCACCATTTTTAGCATGTGTGAATAAAAAACTTCCTTGGCACTCGGAAACAATTATATCGCCTAAATAACTTGACAAATATTGTTTTGTTATTTAAGTATAAAGTAAATAAAATGCAGAAGTATTTTATTTTATATTTTAAGTACAATCCTCAATTTTATAACTTAAATACATCTAGCTATAAAGGGTATCTCAGAAATTTCGATACCAGAATTAAAACAAATCCAAAAAGTTTTTGGCGTTGTGTTAAATCTAAAAAGAATGTTTGAAGTGTCCCGCTTCAGTGTTTTATAATGACTCCACACCTAATTCTATAGGTTAGGCAGCAGATTGTTTGCTCACTTTTTCTCCTCAAACTTTAGTGAGGATCTTTCCAATACTGATATTGCGGATCTACTCCCAAATGAATGGAAAGGTGCTGACTCCACTTTTAGCATAGGTGCGTTGGTTCTGTACGATTGAGATATTATTGAAGGCTTGAAAAACCATTCATTCCACTCAAACCGATTTGGATGATCTGTAGGTGATTCTCTCCAAAAATTTCGTTTTTACTAGCTTCTTTAAAGGTTAATTTTGATAAGTCACTCGCGTATGTTGTTTGACTGGAAACTGACATCAATCCCCTAATCTTCAAATGTCAAATGCAGTCAAAGAAATGGCATTGATTATAGACCTGCATATCTCAAAGCCGACTACTGTTTCAACTGGGTGTATTGTGAAAAGTAAGCTATTATTTAGTATTAAGCACTTTATTTGTTTGACAAAGCATGGGTTTGTCTATGGAAAGTCGCCGTTGCCAAGTCGACACCTAACTCTAACTTAACGGACAGGAAAGAATCGGTCCAAAACGGTCATAGCAACTTCCGGTCTGCCTCATAGAGCTGGAGGAACATCGATGCATCGATATTTTTATATGAACTGCGGACATCGATGTTTTTTTTCTCAACATTGACGGTTTTGCAAATTGCAATTCTACATTTATTTGGCGCGTAAAAAGGTAAGATGGAGCAATTTCAATATCTTAAACATTTTCGATTAAATTTGATTAATTTTAACTTTATAGAATTTATTTCCAAGCAAAAATTTACAAAGGGAAAGGCTGAATAGCCTAATTCTCAAATTGAAAAAAAGCGATGCTTCATAGATGTCGGAAAAATCGATGCTGCCAAACATCGATGTTTCTCCAGCTCTAGTGACTCATAAGTTTAAAAGTTGGTTGATGAAACCGACGATTACTAATATTAAATAAATAAAATATTATTGACAATGAATGTATTTCTTGTGCCCACCTCTTTGGGACTCAGATCAGCGTGCCATGTAGCCACCAACTTGCAAAACATGCTGTAAGGTCCACAGCGTGCTTGTCTGCGCAAACGTCCGTATTCACTCAGCTCAGCATAAGTCATCCCCATATCTTGTTCGTCTGTCTGCACTAGTTGACCATCTTGAAGTGGTTCCAGTTCAGCAGTGGGAGGCGCTTCAATAATTGACTCTAATACAGTTAAATTAAATCTGCAAGTCAAATGAAGTTTCCATTGGTTAAAACTTGGTAAATTCTTTAAGATCAAATCACACACTTCTCTTTCGCGTAGTTAAGAAAACGCCGCAAGTCGGTTTTAGAAATTCCACCGATGGGATTTACGTCCGCCGATGAGCAGTCGTATTTCGTCATATAGCCACGCAAGGCCTCATCGACATTCGCTGAGCCTAGTACCAACAGTCCGCCCGGACGATTGCGTACCCATAACATTAGTTGCGCAAACATATACGCCAGGACCATACGTATGCGTGATTGTATATTTTGTAGCGCCAGATTTTGACGCGCACATCCTCCCTGTGTGCGAAAACGTGGCGTTAGACCTGTGACCGCGTTGAAGATGCTCAACAACGCATTGACGGCAGTGTCGATGCTGATTTCGATGTGGTAGCTGCCTATTTGGTTAGCTAACTGCGCAGCTCGACGGCGTGTCTCTTTGCTGGAATTGACACTGCCCATAAAGCATGTGACCAAAAGGCGATTGCAGAGGGTTGCCGGATCGTCAGGCGTATATTCGGAGTCGGCCAGTATTTTGCGTATATCGTGGAGCACCTGAGCATCACCACCTTGCACGGCGTTCACGATCATGCGACACATGGAGTAAACAATTGTGGCGGAACTGCTTGAGTCGACACCCCCACTGAGTGGCAAAAAGAATCCACCTTGACCGGAGCGACGCAGGTAGTCCCATAACCAGCAGGCGGGGCCCATGGCGATTTCCTCCTCGGGTGTATGATAAATCCACTGCATTGGTGTCGAGGAGGTTTTAAAGATGTCATTATGCGACGACATCTCAAAGTCACAAGTGATGCGCGGATAGTTGGGCGCGGAGGCAGCGTAATTGCAACGAGAACGCAGCCCAACGCGGTAGGAACGTATCTCCTCGAGATCAATTGTGGCCAAAGTTACTTCCTAAATGACAGTGGAGAGTAAAAATTTGTGTATATGACTTGAAAAAAAATCAAAACAAAATGGAACATTAAAGAGTGAAATTTTTTGGGACGTACCACATCCTGCAGAGCAAATTGTTTGCTTCGGGCGATAATTTCGCCATTCATTGCTATGGCGGAGCAACCATTGAAATAGACTCGTTGCCCATCGCAGCCTCGCAAGTTGCTGAACAGATAGGCGCCACCTGCCTTAAAACTGGCATTTCGTATAAGATCGGTGGTTATGTGGGCTTTGCGAAGTTCCATGTAAGACCCAGAACCATTCACTATTATCTCTACGCCGGAAAGTGACATGTCGATATGCTTGCTGAAAATTAGATGTACAAACATACATACATATATATCTATTTAACAAGGAGAACTTTATTTTACTATCTAATGAACTTCTTGAAAGTTATGAAGGTTAATTTCAATACATTAACAAAACTTAGAAAAGAGGATCATCTCACCTGCGCACATTCCACAATTCTTCGCAAATCTCATAGCCGATGCAGGTGTCCTTTGTAGCGATAACCGCATCGCCAAATGGCACAGTCGTCTGGCCGGTATGTTGAGAAATCATTCGTGGCAGAAAATACTCTTCCGTTTGGAGGGCCTGGAAAATGGGAGATACGATATAGAGTGTTGACAAAAAAAAGTTTATGGAGTGAGGATTACACAGGCTTACAAAAAACAAGATTATACATATTGAACATAGTTGCCAACTTGGTGCTTTAAGCACTAGATTTAGTGCTTTTTGAAAATTAAAACGCCAAAAAAATTATTTAGTGCCTAGTGCCTTTTTTAGTGCTTTTTTCTGAACTAAAATTACTTCGAGATAGTTAAAACCTGAAATAATTTGCAATATTTAAAGCTGTGGCAGCACTGAATTTATAAGAATCTACAGATTTAAATGGACTAAAATACAACCATGATTGATAAAAAGTTGAAGTTGCAAACCCACCTTGTTAAATTCTATTCGCTTTGAAAATGCTAGTACGCAAGTAAGTTAAGTATTTATTTTTTTCTTTTCTAATTATTTGTACAGATTTAGTTTTTTTTTACCATCTGAGTAAAACACATCGTTTCTTGGGGCTGAATTCAAATCTGGACTCACAATTACTCTAGCACTAGAATTTTGAGATATCCTAACCCCAAAGTGCCAAAAACACAGTTTTTAGCGATATTTGAGGTTATATAATGAAAACATCAAATTATTTGCTCATTTCTAATTAGGGCATCATTTTCGTTTGTTGCGATTCGATTTTTCTTTCTCGAGATATACCAGTTTTAATGTGCAGTACTTCGGTATTATGTTATGAAAAAAACATCCCTTGATTCAAAAAAATTTGGTGCTTTTAGTGTGGTAAAACGCTTTTTTTCCAAGTTTTTGGTGCTTTTTGAAAAGTAACAGATGGCAACACTGATATTGAACCAAACCACTATATCCCTATGTTATTCGACGCGCTAAATGCGAATTCGAGGCCTGTTAACATCCATAATGTCGTATTCGAGGTCATTTGAGGGCCAAATATGGAAAAATTTATTGAATAAAGATAAACAATTATAAACGTAACGTCACTAGACACGAATAAAGGCGCGAGCTCAAAAGTTGACGGCGAAAAATTAGCATAAAAAAATACTTCAGCGAAGGAAACGCCCCGAATAAATATTGAAATGGCTTGATTCTTCAAGGTCAAATTAAGAAGAATTTTATTGTATTTTCAGGTTTATTTAATTTTTTTTGTAAACCTGTGTTATTTGTTTATTAAGTTTCTTCCGAGAAAAAAAAATATTAAGTATATTCGATGAAAATTGTATGCAGAATTTAAGATTTTTACAACGTAATACTCCAAAATCCTAACAAAATAATTATTGATGAAGTGCAAATGAATCACTTTTGTAAAATATAATTAAATAATTGAAAAATATTATAATGGTTTAGGCAAAAATTAGAAGAAATGATTGGGTTTTTACGTGGTATACGTAAGAATATTTACGCAGAAGATAACTTAGGTAGGCCTGCTTAAGTAAAGCCATTTTAAGAGGCTTACGCACGAAGGGCTGAAAAAGTACTTACTTGCATGCCTTCTAGAGGGCTTATCCATTTACAATTAACGCGAATGCATAAATTTATATTATTTAGCATTACAAATGAATTTCAATAGACATTTTAGGTTGCTAAATATAACACATATTTGATATAAACCTTAAGCAAATACTTCAAAGATGTATGACTTTTATAAATTAAAGAAGCATCTTTAAAAGAACTCCTTCAAAAGGCCTTCGGAAGTACGTCCTATAAAAGCCCTTCTGGAAGGCCTTTAATGGGTAGCGAAAGAAGAAGCCCTTCAATTTGTGCCCATACAAAACCGAAAGGAGAAAGGAATGTAGAGTGGAGGGCCTCTGACTCACAGGAAGGCCTTTCGGAAGAGGTTTTAACTCCTGAAATTATCTACTGGATAGCTGCATATTCGCCTAAATGTTCTCAATTCGAAATAAGCGTTTGTTTTGTAGAAGTACGTTTGATGTAAATATGCAGTTGACAGAAGACCGACCTCGACAACGTAAGCGGCGGTGCAAATGCAAATATTCTTATAAAGGAAGAGCTCTTCTAAGGCGCGCAACGACGATACCCGGCTTAATCAACAATATCACGGAAAATGTAGCTTAGAGTCTGGCGGAAACCAAAATACAGCGGCTAACTGAGGGAAAAAGATCTTTGGCCATTCGTTCGAAATAATAACAATAAAATGCTGCAGTGCCTTGTGATCAGCCATGCTACTCGAGGAAGGTGGCGATGGCCAAAGAGGTAGCCAAACTACAGGCACGATAAAACCATAATCCTTCTATACCGAATTATCTTGTTTGATGTGTTTACATAGTTTTTTGCTATTCGTTTAACTTTAGATCACTCTGCTAGGTCGCATGGGTTACTATCGGGTTTATACGACAGCCGTTTGTCGGTGCGTATGAGCAATCTGTCGTCATGTATTAAAAAAAAATCAAATAGATATTCTCTTTAATATGCTTTCTTATATATATGATGCTTTCCATTTCCAGACAACCGGTCAGGTACGAGCATGATTTTTAATTTCGACCAAACTCAAATACATTGTTTGTTGGTCCAAATAATGCGACACGTATTTTTTCTTTTGGCTCGGAAAAATTTTTCGGCCGAATTAAACGCGATTTTGTTTTTCAGGCAAAAATCAACTTTTCGAATTGACAGTGAGAATGTTTTTTTTTAAATGCCCATAACTTTGTCAAAATTTAATAGATGTTTTTACTCAAAAGTCAGTAATTCTTGTCACTTCAAGATAGAATGATATAATCATGATACAAAAAACAAGGTAGTTCCATTGTCACTTTTCCGTCGCCATATTAACAACCTGACAATTAAGCAGATTGTGACATTTCGTGCTACCATACCCAAAATCTAAAATACTTCAAATTTTCTTATTAATTTTTTGTCGATTTAAAAATCTTTGTTCTTAAGCATAGCTGTTAAATTGCATATAAAACTTCTTTCTGTGAAACAAGTGTGAAATTCGACAACATTTCCTCAGCAAAGTACTATTCTGTTCACGCTGTGAAAAAGCTTGCAACATTTTTGCAAAATGAAGCTAGCAACACAATTTTCATGACATTTTTAAATACACATGTATATTTTAAATTGTGTGAAAGCTGACAGTTTATAGAATTCAGTAGCGGCGAAAACAAAGGGGGGTTAAGTGTTTAAACATTACCCAAGCCGATAGTAAAACTTGCGACGCAATTTCAGCTTATGCCTGTCGGTCTTGACAAGAATGTAATCCCTCAAGGATTAGCTTAACATTGTTCTAGGGATACACCCTGTGATCATGTTACTTTCCAGAAGGTTTCGCCCTCGTTTTTCTGTACATATTTCCATTGGAAAAATGCCTCATCTAAGTATGCTAGGTAAATGCTTCCAGAGGTATCTATACGTCACCAGAATTTTACTTTATATGGCTTATACCGCTAGCTCTCGTAGCTGGCCACGCGATCGTTTTCATATACCCCCATTTTTCATAGGTTTGGGATTGATTTCATTTACCTCTTTTCCAAGTTCTACGTTGGCACGCTGCATTTTCCAACAAACCCATATTTTTCACGAACTTGAGATTGACTTCATATACATACATATATCCATACCAAGTTCCAGAACTCTACCATAAATACTTCCAGAGATATGCACTATGGAAAATTCGATTTGTATGGGAGGTTCCACACCCCCTTTAGATAACGGTTTTGTTTTAGCCTATAACCATTCTTGGAAGATTTGTGTCCGAAATTTCAAAAAAAGCGACATAGCCGGTATGGGCATTTAGACTCCTAAAAGTAAATGAACTAATGATTGAAAAAAAAGAAATCAAACGTCGTAGTTGACCAAAAAAGAACATTAGACTTCATTCTCTCAACTTCTCAGAATGTAGAAGAGCTAAGAAATATATAATAAGATAGGATATATTAAAACGGCCTCCAGAACATTTACCAAAAGACGCCCTGAACTACAGAAATCAGTTTGATTGAAAATTTGTTTGTATCTATTTATTTTATACTTCACATTTGGGTGTGTCAAAACTTCATCTGAAAACAATGTGTGTTGCTGGAAAAATTTCGCGGGCCATGGGTCCCAAAGTAAATTCCATTTGCTGTTAAATGGACAAAGACAATATGTATTAAATAACAGATCGAAATGTATAATTTCAGTGTCTGAATTATATCAGAATCATCGTATCCGATATAGAAAACTACATTGTGAAATAATCAGATGATCATGAGGACACTAAAAAAATTTTAAAATATGTTCACTAAAATTGTATTAATATTAAAATGATTTGGCAAGTTTTTATCGAATTTAATGTAAAATTTAAACGTTTTTAATATAAGATATTAATTATTATTAAAAGGTAAATATTAACACAACTATTTTATTTATAATCCCAAATTAAGGATATAAAATCTCCCACACCAAAAAACTTACAATTGGGTAACGCCGCTTCGAATTTTTCACAATTGAGCAATTGTCAAAAATCTGCTTTTTAATCAAAAAGTTGTTTATTGAAACTACCTTCTTTTTTGTATCATGGATATAATTATTGATTTTCATTATTTAAAATTTTTTATTTGACAATAAACAACAGGTGCAAATTTTTTTTTTTATTTAATTTCTCAAAAAGTGTATTTTTTTTCTCTCAAACTTTTTTATCGGGAAAGAGACACTTTGAACTACAATCAACCCAAATCTCTAATAGCGAAGATTTTTTTTTCTGAGTTATGATTTTTTATAGAAAATATACGTTTTTGTGGTACATACTACAATATTCTTATATTGTTTAACTAAATGGAACATATGTATGTAATATATCAGCAAAAAGTCCAGCCGTGAACATTTTTTGTGTATCAAATAGATATTAGAACACACTTTCCACCATACAGTTTCGATTATAAAAAGTGGGAAAATGTGATTTTGTATTTCGGGAAATTAATACGAGGAAATGAGTGAACTGATTAGGTTGAAAAATAGGCTACCTTTTTTAAGAGTTACCACCTGATAAAAAGTTTAATTAAACTAATACGCGGAAAAGTCTG